AGGGCAGGCATTTCTTGGGTACCAACCAGCCAAACAATAGATATTCTCCAGTTGTTAAACAGAAAATATTATGTTTCAGATTCCAATAGTAGCAATTAAAGCACAATTATCAGGATAATAACCTGCAGGGAGTGCTGGAATATGTTGATGCTTGTCTGACTACACTGCCATATTGACCAAAAGTTATTGATGATGTGACATTTGTGTTACATTTTAGACCATTCAAAGCTTTTTATGTCAGGTGCAAACCAGTTATAAATTCTTATATTGAAACTGAGTTTACTTGCATAAACATTTATGGTGGATTTTATTTTTGAAGATCACTTAAGTTGCCTCTTTTAAGATGATATCCACTACAGTGTATACAGAAACTAAATGTTTTAAACAGATTTGTCTTCAAAATTTGTTTTAGGTACATATAATTTTAATTGAAATTATAACCAAGAGTTTGTCCTTCAGGAAGTAGCCCTGTTTGACCATATATCTTAAGGATCTCCGCTCAGATCTGTTAATATTCTTACCCTGTTATTGCAGGTGGTGGACTAAGAATAGCAGCTTATCTAAGCCTGCCTTTGTAAGAGATGAGATTTGAATTGGGGATTTAATTGCTGACAGTCTTCATTTTTATTTTACCCCACCTCAAATATTCTTTGTTCTTTTTCAATAGGACTACGGCCCCAAAGTCAACTTTAAGAAGCAGAAATTGAAAGCTGGTAATTTTTCTGGGTTGCCCAGCTTCAGCAAGGAGATTGTGGCACGAATGAGAAGCTATACAGTGCTTGAGGGTTTTTCTCCTGTTGAGCAGTGCAATTTAGATTATGACCCTGAGAGAGGATCTGCTATTGACCCACATTGGGATGACTGGTGGCTTTGGGGGGAACGGCTGGTGAGCTTAAACTTGCTTTCAGAAACAGTACTTTCCATGTCCTGTGACTCAGAGGACAGTCTCCAGTTATTGCCTCTATTTCTTCAAGAAAACAAGCAGATACAGAGTTATCAATCTCCTGATATTTCTCAAGAGTATCAGTATAACGATCCTACTCTTCTAGAAAGACTAGGAAGCACTGAATGTTCATCCACAAAGTTAGTTCCATTCAGAGAAATCATTGTTGCTATTTACTTACCTCGGAGATCACTAGTAGTTCTCAGTGGGCCCGCTCGCTATCAGTGGAAGCATGCCATTTATCGCAACCATATTAAAAGCCGCCGCGTATGTATCACCTTCAGAGAATTGACCACTGAGTTCAGTCTTGGAGGAGAACAGGAAGAGCTGGGTAAAAATCTTTTGGAAATTGCTCTGACATTCAAGGGATCACCTGTATAAACCCTGAGGGAAAAGAACTGAGACTCTTCTTTGGCTGTTGGATATTAATGTTCGGGGATTTCATAAACTTGCTTCTTTTTTTTTCCTCCCCAGAGCAAAGTTGTATTCATTGTTCTTCTGAGGGTGGTTCTTGGTGTTATATTCTAGAATGTCTTACTTCTCCACTATTATTAAAATGGTTTGAATTAATTTTTTAATCTATATTGTGTGGCTCTCCAGATGTCTCTGAATTTAATTAATTTATATTAACAGTGGAGCGAATAAATGTATCTTCCTTGAAACTGAAGATTTCCTTTGAAAGTCTGTTTGCAGCACATAGCCTGTGGCCTATGTGACAATGTTAAGCTATAGCACCCAACAGTTCTCATCCTTAGCTAACTAGTTGGGGTTACTGGGAGTTATAATTCACCATCTGGGAGGCCATAGATTATATGTCAAAATATATTAATTAAAAGTGTTAAATTTCTTGTCCACCCCTAACCCTAATAAAATCATTTGTCTTTTTATTTTATTTAACTCAAACAAAAACTTTAATGTAAGAGAAATAAATGATAAAACAGGAGTTTATTAACCTTTCAGTGAGGATTCTACAATTATGGCATTTCCCCAAAGACCCCATGCTTGGTATCTACCAATAGAATATCTATTAATCACAAGACAGAGAGCAGTATCTAAGCTGATTTTTAAAGACTACAATGAATTGGTTTTTTTCTTCTATTTCTTTCACTTTTTTGTTAAAGCACTGTTTTTTTCCTTCTCGATAATAAACAAAAAGACTCTAATTAATTTACATATGTGTAAATACCAGGGTATTCATTTTTTTATCTTTACCTTCCAATCCCTATAATACAGATGTCCTTATATAGCCTTTTTAATTAACTAAATAAAAAAAATACACAAAATTATAAAACAGAGAAAAAAGCTGGAAAAAAATAAAAATACAAAACATATGCTTATAGACTTTTTTTTTTTTTTTGGGTGCCTTCGAGTCAATGTTGACTTCTGCCAACTGCCTGGACTAGTCCTTGCAGTTTTCTTGGCAAGATTTTAGAAGTAGTTTGCCACTAACTTCTTCCTAGGGCTGAGAGAGAGGGACTGGCCCAAGATCACCCAGCTGGCTTTATGCCTAAGGTGGGACTAGAACTCACAGTCTCCTGGTTTCTAGCCTGGTGCCTTGACCACTACACCAAACTGGATCCCTTTTACAGACATACATATATTAATAAATTGATGCCATAATTCATTACAGACATCCATAGCTGATCTATATTAATCAATTCTGTAAACCACTGAAACCTGGAGGCATATGTTTGTCTTTCTGATGCTGAACAGTAGGTCTTTTAGTTTTAAGTCCATTTTCTTTCTCCAGAAGTAAAAAACTAAAGCATTAATTTCACTGCATCCCCAACAACATAAATGCAGTGAGGTCATTTCTAAAATATTTTTTCTTGATGAACAGGATGTAATCTAAAAATCTGCTGAAATTTTTGGGGTTTTTTTAAACATAATTTTAAATTGATTAAGTAAAACATGCAAGAAAAACAAAGGAAAAATACATATACATATTCAAGGAATTTTA